GAAAGACTCAATGAAGAGGACATATCTCTTAATACACTGAGTCAGACATTAACATTAGTGTTTGAGGGAGGAAATTTGGGCCAGGATTTCGCAAACATCACTGGTTTGCGGTCCTTGACTCCTTGGAGTGTCTGTATCTGCTGGGATTGAAACAGCATATATTTAACTTTATTAGTGTGTTTTTAGAATGGTCTTCATTTAGAAAACACATTGATAGCCCAGAATGAACGTATTTTCCTGCAGTGATATTTTTAAGCTGAAAATGAAGTATCTGCTTCTACACCATTGAGTTGTGCCAGTCTTTAATTCAGTAGAAGATTTTGCTCTTTCAGACAGACATTTATATGGGCAACGTTTTCCAGCAATGTTTTTTGGCAATTCTCCTTTTCTCCATGTTCGTATTTAAAGGATTGTCTTAGACGTGCATTGGTAGCCAGCATTGATCCCTCAGCTGGGAGAGATGCAGCCTGTCAGGCACTTCTGTTCAGGAAGTGACTTGCCATGACTCTGGAGGGCAGTGACACAGGGAGTTAGGACTCTGGGCTCTGTCGTGCGACCCTGGAAAGCGACTTGGCTTTCTGCTTCACTTGCCTTCCTCTGCAAAGTAGGAGTGAACTAAAACTTACCTGCAGGAGCATGGAATCTGGAGGGGGAGTACAGGTGTCCAGAGGCAGGGCCTGGTCCACAGTGAGTGCTTACTCAGCGCAGGTGTCCAGAGGCAGGGCCTGGCCCACAGTGAGTGCTTACTCAGCCCATGTGTCCAGAGGCAGGGCCTGGCCCACAGTGAGTGCTTACTCAGCACAGGTGTCCAGAGGCAGGGCCTGGTCCACAGTGAGTGCTTACTCAGCACAGGTGTCCAGCGGCAGGGCCTGGTCCACAGTGAGTGTTTACTCAGCGCAGGCGTCCAGCGGCAGGGCCTGGTCCACAGTGAGTGCTTACTCAGCACAGGCGTCCAGAGGCAGGGCCTGGCCCACAGTGAGTGCTTACTCAGTGCTGATGTCTTAGCATGTGCTTCCCGTTCTGTTCTGGAGTCAGTCATCTTGGAAGTGACTCGCCGTGACTCGGGAAGGCAGTGACACGGGTGGGCAGGAACACATCACCTGGTCTCGGTAGAGTTTGTGCTGATGTGACTGGTTAGCTGGAAAACACTGATCACTTCATGAGAGTAAAGAACCAGCCACACTTTTTACGGAGTTGGATCTCACAGTGCAAACTGCGTTTTGTGAAAAGCCAGGCATTTCAGCTTCAGTAACTGATTAAATTACCACAAAAAAGCACAGCCAATTTAGGGTATTTTGGAAGAACTCCGGGTTTGAATATTTCCGACTTCTAGAGGAAGAGACAGCATATTCTGTCTTGGACAAGTTAAAACCTTCTCTTTGAGCAAACTATTTCTTCGAAACTCCCAGATGATTCAGAATTAGATGGGCCCAGCAAGGATGTGTCCTCAATCTTCATCTTGACAGTTGGGTTTGTTTCTAGTCAGAGTGCACATGTGTTTCTCTGGACGTACATCTCTCGTACACGTGCGCAGCGACAGGACTTAAAGTGCCAACGTGCACGTGCGGCACTAGAGCCAGAGGTGTCCCCTCTGCTCTGTGGCTCCCATTGTGGGGTGTGGGGCAGGCACCAGAACCCTGCTGGCTTCAAACCCCCGTACTGTTGTTTACCACTGGGATAACGTTGGTCAAGGGATTTCCACTTCGTTTTTTTTTAAACTTATTTATTCTACTTTCAGTTCCGGGGTACATGTGCAGAGCGTGCAGGTCTGTCACATCGGTACACATGTGCCACAGCGGTGGCTTGCTGCCTCCATCGCCCGGTCACCTACATTAGGTATTTCTCCTAACGCTGTCCCTCCTCAACCCCCACCCCCTGCTATTCCCTCCCTAGCCCCCACCCCCAGGTCCCGGCGTGTGATGATCCCCTCCCTGTGTCCATATGTTCTCATTGTGAGAACATGCAGTGAAGCCCCAGCCATGTTGTGGGCATACAGAAGAATCCATGCAGGCTTCCCCACGGGGGATCCTAATCAGGGGCCGGTTCTTCTGGAACAGGAGCAGCTGAGCGTGCAGGGAAACTGCCGACCCTCCGGCCCCGGTGTCTTCCACAGCCATCGCTGCGTTGAGCCAGCATAAAGAAGAAATGCCTGTGAAAATGGACCTCCTTGCGCAGGAACCCACATTTGCAAGTGGGACAGGTCCACCCCAGAAGGGGGTTGAGCAGGTTTAGGTGTCTGGGACTGGCCTGGCCTGCTGTCCGAGTAATTCGTTTTCAGGGTCAGGCTCGGTGGGGAGAGGACGCTGGGTGGGCTGCCTGCACGGGTGGGACGGTGCAGCCCCCAAGCAGACAGCCCGCCCATGGAACAGAGTCCCCGGATTTGTTTAAAGTCCAAGTGTAAAGAGACGCGGCATGTCTCTAGTGCTCAGGGGGCCCAGCGTTCTTCAGAAGACACATCCAGAAATAATTTCCTTCCTTAGACTGAATTCTGCCTTAACGATAGGAGACTCAGTAAAATCTGGAGAACATTCTGGAAGGTCTGGAGAAGTGGGAGCCCTGGAGAATGTTCTGAAAGATCTGGAGAAGGGGGAGCCCTGGAGAACACTCTGGAAGGTTTGAAGAAGCAGAGCCCTGGAGAATGTTCTGAAAGGTTTGGAGAAGTGGGAGCCCTGGAGAACGTTCTGGAAGGTTTGGAGAAAGGGGAGCCCTGGAGAACTTCGTGGGAGGTCTGGAGAAGGGGGTGCCCTGGAGAATGTTCTGGAAGGCTCAGAGAAAGGGGAACCCTGGAGAACATTCTGGAAAGTTTGGAGAAGGGGGTACCCTGGAGAGTGTTCTGGAAGGTTCAAGAAAGGGGCAGGAAAACATTTCCTGGAGAATGTTCTGAAAGGCTCAGAGAAGGGGGAGCCCTGGAAAACGTTCTAGGTGGTTTAGAGAATGGGGAGGCCAGGGGGTCAGGAGGAGACGCAGCCCGAGAAGGAAGAAGAGGAAGGCGGAGGAGGAAGCCGGTGGAGGGCGTCACCTGAGAGGGCCCAGAGGGTTTGCCAGCGGGGCACCGGGTTCAAGGGGCATCTGGAGTGCAGGAAAGGAAGTGCCTGCTGCTCCCCAGGGCACCCGGTGGCATCTGCAGAGGGAGGCAGCCCCAGCAGCCCCGCTGAGGTGACAGCAAACAACCAGGCGGCCAGGGAGGCCCCTGCAGCGACAGCCCCAGGTCACAGGGTCGGAAGCGGCCCACCCAGACCTGGGCGTGGCGTCCCAGCTCCGGGCCTCCCTGGTGTAGACACCCGCCCACACAGCGAGACCAGGAGTGTGCCAGGGCCCTGTGGATGCGGGCGAGGTGCCTGCGCAGTCTCCCGGCCGCCGACCAAGCCCCTTGGAGTTGGAGGAGGGCAGAGGAGGGCAGCCTCACCTGGGAGAGGCGTTCCTCCAATCCCCTGCCTGTCAGGAAGATTCTGGAAGCATCTTCCCAAGCAGAGCACCCTTCCTAGCCGCTCGGGGGGAAACACCATCACCCTCCTCCTCACCCAGGAGCCCCGAGGGGGGTCGCCTGCTGCTCGAGGTCTTCACGCATCAGGGCTTCCCTTTCCCTGGGCCTTCCAGAATGTTCTCCAGGACTCCCCTTCACCAAAGTTTCCAGAATCTTCTCTAGGGCTCCCCATTCTCTGGGCCATCTAGAACGTTTTCCAGCCCTCCTCCTTCTCTGAGCCTTCCAGAACACTCTCCAGGGCTCCCCCTTCTCCAGACCTCCCAGAACGTTCTCCAGGGCTCCCCTTTCTCCAAACCTTCCAGAACGTTCTCCAGGGCTCCCCCTTCTCCAGACCTCCCAGAACGTTCTCCAGGGCTCCCACTTCTCCAGACCTTCCAGAATGTTCTCCAGGGCTCCCCCTTCTCTGAGCCTTCTAAAATGTTCTCCAGGGCTCCTCCTCCAAACCTTCTGGAACATTCTCCAGAGCTCCCCGTTCTCCAGACCTTCCAGAATGTTCTCCAGGGCTCCCCTTTCTCCAAACCTTCCAGAATGTTCTCCAAGGCTGCTGCTTCTCCAAACCTTCTAGAACATTCTCTAGGGCTCCCCCCTCTCCAGGGCACAGTGTGGAGGAGGCAGCTCCAGCCTGGGGGCAACCCCCTCCCCCAAGTGGGCTTTTGGGCTGCCTCAGGACATATGGGCTGCCTCATTCCCTCCCAGCCCCCACCCCGGGCCCACCTGCCCATGTGGACTCTCCATGCTCTTTGACCCCGAGGTCAAATGCCGTATTCTCTGCTGCCTTCTTGAGGGACACTTCAGATGTGGCTGAGGGAACCGTGCCAGGTGAGGTCAAAGGGCATGACTTCTTCTAGGGCAGAAAATCCGCCTATGGAGGGTGTGGGTGTGGTGTCAGCCCGAGCGAGCTGCCTGCAAAGCAGTGACTCCCCACCTGCCAGTGCCAACAAAGCCACGCTGCACAGCCACTGGGAGGTAAGGCGGGGCTGGGCTCCTCGTCCTCTGTCCCCATGTGGACGGCAGCACACCCCAGCCCAGGACGAGACGCAGGAAGGACGCAGCCCCGAGCAGGCCGTGTGGGGTCCGCCGGGTCTCAGTAGGTGAGTGACGGCTCCAGGTGGAGTCTTCTTCCTGGGTGATGCTCCTTAGAAACACCTGCCGTCGTTGGCATCTCTTTACTCATTCTGCATGAATACTGTTTCTTATCGATTTAGTATTTGTGATTGTGTGCCATTTTTCTTTTCTTTCTTTTTTTTTTTTTTTTTTTTTTTGAGACGGAGTTTCGCTCTTGTTATCCAGGCTGGAGTGCAATGGCGCGATCTCGGCTCACCGCAACCTCCGCCTCCTGGGTTCAGGCAATTCTCCTGCCTCAGCCTCCTGAGTAGCTGGGATTACAGGCATATGCCACCATGCCCAGCTAATTTTTTGTATTTTTAGTAGAGACGGGGTTTCACCATGTTGATCAGGCTGGTCTCGATCTCTTGACGTCGTGATCCACCCGCCTCGGCCTCCCAAAGTGCTGGGATTACAGGCTTGAGCTACTGCGCCTGGCCCATTTTTCTTAAAGAAAGCTCCTGAAGCTACCTAAGGCCCAGGCCCCGTGAAACGTGGACCATGATGGGAGCAGATCACAGGGAGCTGCCACCTTCTCCAAGTCTCTGCTGCTTCCAAATGCGACACCCCCAGGGCGTGCTCTGGAGGGATGGGAGGAGACAGTTTCTCTCCCAGGGCAGCAGGGCAGGGCAGCGATGGAACCCGCCGGCCTCAGCCACGGACCCTGGGGGTTGAGTTCCCAATGGCTTCCTCAGCCAGGGCCAGCAAGAAGATGCTCATTAGAGGCAGCAATGACGGGGCATCTTGGAGTGGCCCTAGTCAGGACGTGGTTGAGAGGACTCCACAACAGCAGGGGTTGCTACACCCAGGCTCCAGGCTGCTGGGTCCTCCACCGAGGCCCAGGCAGGAGTGGACGAGGGTGGGCGGCCTCCCCACAACACCTGCCAGGACTCACAGCTGCCTCTTCCCTGGAACTTTGAGTGCCAAGGTCACACGTGGGGACCTTACTATATGCTTCATGGGCCTTACAGTTTCCGTCGCAAGTATGGGGCCATGCTCCAATAAAACTTTATTCACAGAAGCAGGCAGAGGGCTGGAGCTGCCTCAGATAGCACAGCCCTCCCCTGGCTGAGACACCTCCCACATCATCAGACCATGTTGCTCTTGGGTCCCTCAGAGCACAGTCCTGGCAGCATCTTCCTAGGGCTCCCGGCTCAGTCTGTGCAGCTCTGGGGACGGAAACTGTGTGTACTGACCTCAGAGAAGCCCTCAGGGACTGGTGGGTTCTGGGTGGTGTGTTCCTGGTTCTCTTTGGGTACTCTGCGAGCCAGCCTGTGTGAGCTAGTGGCTCAGCGAAGGGGCAGCGGGTGGGGGCAGCCAGGGGCCAGGGCGGAAAGAGGGCCCTGGGTACCACGAGTGGTCCTCGGACATCTCCAGTGTGGAGGGAGGGGCCCCAGGCACCCTTGTGAGTGGTCCTTGGACACCTCCAGGGTCAGGGCATCACTGCCCTGTCTACAGTGAAACACACAGTGTAGAAAGCATTGGAGCACAGATGCCCCTGCATCAGGCATAGGGATGCATGTCCTGGCCTCGAGTAAAATGAGGCAGTGACAGGACGGTGGCCCAGGCCCCTGCAGCACCCAGGCAGCACGTACAGTTCGGGCCAGGACACGCGTCTCTTGCACCAGAGACCAGAAGGCCTGTGAAGCCTGCAGCATTTACTACCCACGCTTGGCAGGAACAGCCGCCCACCTCTGGGTAGGAGAAAGGAGGGGTCACTCAGCACGAGGGAGGCAAGTCAGGGAGGTGATCCAAGTGACGGACCCCGGAGTCAGGCCGGGTCATGAACTCCTGGTGCAGGAGGCAGGATGGACGAACAGGACGCCCGTGGCGCTGGATACATAACCACGACTGCACGCACCTGCTCCCGTGGGCAGAAGTGGAAGGAGTGAGAAGACTTTTGTACAATGGGATACGGAAGACACGTTCGACCGGATGCGTAACCATGACCACGTGCACCCGCTCCTGTGAGCATCAGCGTGCAGCCCAGGCCAGATGGTAGGATGGGGGTATCTTTAGAAGCCGTGTAGTAACCCCACTGTGTGACCAGTGAGGAGAAGGCACGGGTTCTGGGGGGCTTCAAAGGCAGTGCTTTTCAGGGGGGCCTCTGGATCTTTGCAGGAGTCCGAGCAGAGATGGTAGAGAAAGCACCCTTTGGAAAGGAGTGACAGCAGATGGACCCCACGTGGCTGAGCCTGGGGGCACAGTGCACAGAGGGCGAAAGAGGTGACCTGGGCGCCCCTCAGGGTCTCACACACAAGGCTGGGTGGGACTCGGGAGTGGGGCTGAGGGGCGAGATGCTGAGACTTTTCAAGTGTTCAATGATGACTATAAGCTTTGGGCATTGAGTTTTGTTTCATTTGACAGTGAAATGATGGTTTTATATTTTTATTTTAATTTTGCTTTTTTCAATTCTATTTTAAATTTCAGAGTAAAACTGCTTTCCTAATAATAGGTCATTTTACTGCTAACAGCATTGATAGGCGTCTGGTTTTAGCTCCGGTTCGCAGCCAGCCCTTTCGCTTTCAGAATGAGGCTTCAGCTCATTGGCATAGCTGTGTCTGGTGGCGTCAGCACCTCTGTGACAGGCAGCCTTTCTCGGGGCTTAGAGTGTCAGCAAAGGGATTATTTCAGGCTGACACTTGGCACGTAGAGTTCTCAGGCAAATGCATTTTTAAGAGTTGGATTTGATCTCAGTTATTCCATTTGGCTTTTAAGGGAGGGAGGGAAAGCAGTTTACCCAGCTTCTGGCTCTGTCATATTTTCGTTTGGAATCTAAAGGCAGCGACACTGGCAGGCAGCCAGCTCTCGGCGTGGACTGACACTTCAGCCCCTCTGGGAAAAGCAGTCTCATTCAAACAAGCTGGAGCCTTAGGAGTGGCCGCTCCACTTTCCCGCCGGGCTGCGATGTGGTGCTGACCCAGCGTGGCACACAGATCCCTTGTGTCCCGGCTGGACGCTGGCCCGGTGGCCGTGGCCTATGGAGCAGGCTGCGCGGTGCATGAAGCCAGCACGGCCCTGGAAATCGCGTGCAACAAAAAGCCTCTGTTCCACTCAGACGTGCTCTGAGCAGACAGGGCCCCCCGAGGCTGGCGGCGATGGACGCACAGATGGGGCCCGGAGAGAGCAGGCTTTAATTAGGTCAGCCCCGGGGTGCGGGGAGCAGACAGCTCTGCTGGGCTTGGCCGGGCAAAGAGGCGTCCTGAGCCTGGAGGAGCTTCAAGAGTTTACGGGATGCTCAGGAGCCTCCCCGACTCCGCCTTTTCCTCACATCCTGAAGTGCATGGAGCCGGTCCTCGGGTTCCGGGCAGTGAGCACTGGCACAGGCGGGCTCTCCTCTGCCAAAGAGGGTACCAGGAGGACCCCCATGGCTTACAGCCGCCACGGCTTAGGGCCCCCATGACTAGAGCCCTCACCACTTTAAAGCCCCCCATTCCTGTGGATTTTGGGGAACTGTCTCCTTCAGTTGCCAGTCTTTGTGGCTCTGTGATCTGAGCTGTCTGGACGGTCCCTGGATAGAAACGCCCAGCCCCACGTTTCCTCTGCAGCCCATTGATGGGGGAAGTGGAGTTCTGCAAGGCTCTGGTGGGCCTGGATGCTGAGCCTGCTGAACCACAGGGGCTGTTCTGATCACCTCCTTTCTGTGCACGCTGTTGGTGACGGGGACCCGCTGCCCTCAGTAGCACCAGATGTCCGAGTGCCCAGCACCCAACACTGGGCAGCAAGAGCATCAGCAGTTCACAGTCACAGGTGCTGGCACACGGGTGGAAGGCGGCCCACTCCACTCAGGGACCGGGTGAGCCCCCGGAGGCTGCGTGGCCTTGCGGTGACCGCCCGCAGGGTGAAAGGGCCCTGGCTCTGTGGGGCATGGGGCGGGCTGTTGGGAGAATCCTGTGGCTGGCCAGGATCTGAAGCCCAGTGTAGTGGGGGACATCTCATGAGGACAGTGGCTCCCAGGAGGCCTCCAGAGACTGGGAGGCCTTTCATCATGGGGCTCTTACTGGCCACATGGTCCCGCTCAAATGAACGCTCTGAAAGTCTCAGCATGAGTCTCAGTGCAGGAAACTGCTGTGCTGGAGGTGAGGGCACCTGGGGCCCAGGGGCACAGGAAGGGCCGAGCGCCACCTCCCAGGGCCCGCAGCTGTAACACCGATCCTCACAGCCCAAAAGGTTTTCTGTGTAGGTGGGTTTTAATTGGATGTCTGGAAGTAGGCGAGGTTGTGTCTGAGCTTGGTAATGAGAGGCAGAGTGAAAGGGAGGGACATCTTGGAGGTGACTTTCCTGATGCCAGGTGTGTGCCAAACAAAACTCCACAGGCCTGACCACGCCTGACAAGGGCACAGGGCAGCCGAGGTCAATGGTGGTCCTGCTGTGGGGTTACTGGGTGTCCTTGATCAAGGTGTTGGGCGCTCAGCACCTCGGCTTCCTTCCCTGCAAGGTGAGGGGCTTGGTACCCCAAAACCCCAGTGCATTTATGAATTTTAACTATTCTACAAGGCTGTGGCCAACATGTATGCTTCGGAGGCTGGGCCTGAAGGCAACGCACCAGGCACCTGGCAGAAACCAGCCATGTGGTGGAGGACAGGTGTGTGCGGGGAGGCGCCCCTGTGCCATGCTCATTAGATTGTGACGGTGGCTTGTTACCAGCTTGTTTTACTTCAAGATGCTTCACTACATAAAGATTTTCAATTATAAGACAGATGGAGTTGAAAACTGACTTTTCTAAAAAGAGAGATTATTGTACCTTGAAGAAATGATCCTTAGCTTTTTTTTTTTTTTTTTTTTCCTTTTTTTTTTTTAATTGCATTTTAGGTTTTGGGGTACATGTGATGAACATGCAAGATTGTTGCATAGGTACACACATGGCAGTGTGCTTTGCTGCCTTCCGTCCCCTCACCTGTATCTGTCATTTCTCCCCATGCTCTCTCTTCCCACCTCCCCACCCCCCGCCCCTCCCCCATTTCCCCCCAACAGACCCCAGTGTGTAGTGCTCCCCTCCCTGTGTCCATGTGTTCTCATTGTTCAACACCCGCCTATGAGCGAGAATATACGGTGTTTGATTTTCTGTTCTTGTGTCAGTTTGCTGAGAATGATGGTTTCCAGGTTCATCCATGTTGACCCAGCAATCCCATTACTGGGTATATATCCAAAGGATTATAGATCCTTAGCTTTAAAGCTTTGTTTTTGAATGAGTGCTCCCTTTAGGCATTTGGCATGTCTGGGCTGCAAACCCTTGTGCTCGTCCTGTGTGCTTCGCAAAGCACACAGTGCCTCTAGCCTCTTTCTGAGCCTGGCCGGGTGTGAGCAGTGAGAGAGGGTGGTGTTTCAGGCTTCCGTGGGGCTGAGGATGGGCTCCGCCATGCCCCTCAGCCCACAGAGACAGAGACGCACCCGGAGCCTCTGAGCCACGGGTCTTGTCTGCAACTGGGTCAGGTGGGCTGCGCCTGCCAAGGGTGCCTCCAGGGTGGGTGCTGCCTGGCCGGGTGCCCTCCTTACACTCGAGGGCAGCCCAACTTGGGTGCAACTGTGTCTGCATGAGTGCTCTCTGCGCCAGCAGCTGAGTGCCCCCTGCTGAGCTAGTATTTGCTGAGCCCTTGAGTGGTGGATTCCTTCCTGACAATGTCGCTCAGGTGTTTATCCCAGCAAGAGCCTGGGTCAAGGTTGCCCTAGTCTCCCCACCTCCCCCTGCAAACACCCTTTGGCTGCCAGCAGCGCCCTCGATGTCCCGTGTCCAGCTCCTGAGTGCGGATTCCTGGCTCCAGTCCGCTCTCACAGTTGCCCAATGTACAACATTCCTCGTGCTGAGCCACAGGGCTGGCCCAGGCCTCTTAGGTGTGGGAGGAGGCGAATGCCATGTCCAGCAGAAAGAACCACACAGGGATGGCCACGCGTCAGCATGGCAGCTGGGGTGGCTGCGGAGCGGGGAACCGCTGGTGAGTTGTTTACGATCAGCTCTGCACCCGTGGCTGTGCCTGGTTTTTTTCTTTAATGGAATGAAGCAGACAGGAGTGCCATGTCCCTGTGAAGACACAGCATGAGCCTGGGTGATTTAGGGCCTGTGGGTAACACCCACCATGGGCACTGAGGAAGGAGAACTGTCCAGACCCCAGGCACAGCCAGTGCCTGAAGAATATCTTAGTTTATAGTGTCATTGCTCAGCTGTTTCCTTTATATAATCCTTCATATACAATCATATATTAGTTTGTAGAATTAGTGCCTGAGTTATAACTTACTGTTTACATATATCCAGCTTATATAATCATACTTAGTACTTATATCTAGCATACGTAGTTCTATGTAACCTTTCTATATAATCATACAGGTATTGTAGTCGGAGCTGTACTGACACATTCAGTGCTGATTTATAGAATCCTCCTATATAACCATACAGTAGTCTGTAGTAGGAGGAATGCCTGGAGCAGTCACAGAGCAGAAGCAGCACATGGGAAAACAGCCAGACCAGGACGAGAATCGAAGACCCAGGCGGCGGCGGCCCTGCTTGAAAGGGCAAATGCTGTACGGCAGGCTTGGAGCAGGAGCCTCGCCTCCTGAGAAAGGAGCTGTAGCACCTTGCATCCAGTTCCTGTGGAAAGTTGGCCTCAGGCCTTAGATCCTGGAAGTAACGGAGGGAGATGAGCCCCTCTGGTGTGACCAGTCACGGCGGCTGGACACTCTGTCAGTCTTTTCTCGCTTCTGTGCTAGCTCAAATCATCCTCCCATAAATACCTTAGAGAAGAGCACACGTCTGCCAGCTCCCACTGCATTGGCTTACAGCATCCTTCTATTAGAAACCCTCTGAAGTCTCCAGCCCCCAGATAAGAAGTGTTGCACGTGACACCTGCTGCACACAGCCCACCTCCTTGCCTTGGTGACCTAATGGGGGTGGACTCCTTTTCTGTACACGACCCTCTACTACTGCTCATGGCATGGCCCCCCTATGGCGCACGGCCCACCTCTCTGCCCAGGTGACATAATGGGGTGACTCCCTCACTTGTAACTCACATGATTATGGATGCCCTATTACTAGGCCTATAGATGATGAGCTCACTCACAACCCTGCCCCCTGCTTGTACCTAATCAACACAGATGCTCCGGGGCATTTGGGGCCGCCGCTGATCTCCGCTCACAGGTGGTGTGACCCCCGAGTCCAGATGCTCTTCACCAGTTCTTCAGTGTCCTGTCTCTTTGCTTCTTGGACCCTGCACCTCAGCACAGCCTAAGGGACACCCCGCGACCCTGTGGGGACTCCACGGCCCTACAGGGCCCTGGTGAATTCATATCCCTCTGGGACATGAAGGCCTGTTTTCTGCAACATTTCCCTGATGAGAATCTTGAGGCCACCGGTGTAATCCGAGAGGAGGCCAGGTCGGTGCTGACCCCTGCGAGCCTCACCTCCCAGGCCACAGCCTCCCTCACTGTCTCTGCAATCCCAGTGGAGGCCCTGGGCCCATTCCACGTCCGGTCATGCTCTAGGAAGCGGTCAGTGCTGACCTGGACAGTGGCAACGAGCCTCTGGCTGAGACCTCCAGGAAGGCCTGTATCTCCTGCTTGCTGCACACTGGCTGAGGTCGGCAGGCCAGAGCGGGACTCCCACATGCACAGAGTGCCCCTCTGCCCTGTGCTCCATCAACACAGGTGCCCCAGCACCTCCCAAATGCTCCTGTGCAGAGCAGGCGGTGGCAGATGGGGCCCATTGCCATTCATGTGGCTCATGGAGGTGCTGGTGTCCCGTCCAGGTCTGTACCCTGTGCCCAGCTGAGGGGGCTGTGCCTCTTTGGGAGAAGACTGCGAGGTCCTGAGCTCAGACTGGGTGGCCCAGAGCCAGTGACTGGCAGTGGTGGGCAAAATGGCCGCCGTGGCCTCCCTCGGGTCATCACTGGGGTGTGGGTTGTCGCCCAGAGCCCCTGGGGACCAGGCCAGCAGGGACCCCCTCCTGACACCTTGTCCTGCCCTATCATGCTCACATTGCCCCTCCCCATTTGGTTTCTCCTGCAGGAATCCCCACCAGGGCACTGGCTGCTCAGGGCCAGAGCTTTCCTCGAGGTGCGGCTGCAGGGTGAGGGGGTTCACACCACAGAGGTGGCAGAGGGAACAGCTGTGAAGGTCCTGGCAGAGTGAGGACAGGCCCACAGGGATGGGGCACAGAGGCAGCGGAATAAATGGAAGAAGACGTTATGATAAAATGTAGCCCTTTAAATTATGCATCTGCAGCACTTTCATGATATGAAATAATCCTGAGAAAACACCGCTTGATGATGGACACAAAAGTGGCAACTTCAACCCGGAATAGACGGAGCCCCTGGGAGAGCCCTGGAGGGTCTTGGCCACAAGGTTCAGAAGAACATCATGACCAGGTGCATTGTCAGTGAGCAGCAGTATTTTGAAAGGAGTCTTCTTTTCTGAGCAGTAGTTCTCAAGAGTGGGCTTAAAATATTCAGTAAACCATGCTGTAAACAGACATGCTGACATCCAGGCTTTGTTGTTCCATCTGTAGAGCAAGGCCGAGTAGACTGAGCAGGGTTCTTGGGCACCCTGGGATGTTCAGAATGGTCCATAAGCATCAGCTTCCAGTGAAAGTCACTGGCTGTCCCAGCTCCTGAGAGTCAGCCTGTCCTTTGCAGCTTCTGAAGCCGGGCATTGATTTCTCCTCTCTAGCTAGGGACGTCCTAGATGGCGCTTCTCCTAATAGAAGGCAGTTCCGGGCTGGACGCGGTGGCTCAAGCCTGTAATCCCAGCACTTTGGGAGGCCGAGGTGGGTGGATCACGAGGTCAAGAGATCGAGACCATCCTGGTCAACATGGTGAAACCCCGTCTCTACTAAAAATACAAAAAATTAGCGGGGCATGGTGGCGCGTGCCTGTAATCCCAGCTACTCAGGAGGCTGAGGCGGGAGAATTGCCTGAACCCAGGAGGCGGAGGTGCAGTGAGCCGAAGATCGCGCCATTGCACTCCAGCCTGGGTAACGAGAGCGAAACTCTGTCTCAAAAAAAAAAAAAAAAAAAAGAAGAAGGCAGTCCCATATACAGGGAAAATCTGTTGTTTAGTGCAGCCACCTTCATCCAGTCTCAGCCAGATCTCCTGGCTGCAGAAGGTAACTTGCTGCAGCTTCTCCATCAGCACCTGCCGCCCCACCTTGCGTTTTCAGGTCATGGCGATGGCTTCTTTCCTTAAACCTCGTGAACCCACCTCTGCCAACTTCTACTCTTCTTCTGCAGCTTCTTCACCTCTCTTCATTGAACTGAAGGAAGTTGAGGACCTTGCTCTGGACGAGGCTGTGGCTTAAGGGGATGTCGTTGCTGTTTTGATTATCTATCGAGAGCACAAAAACTTTCTCCGTATTAGTGACAAGGCTGTTTCACTTCCCATCATTCATGCACTCTCTAGAGCAGCCCTTGTGATTTCCCTGAAGACCTTCTCCTTTGCATTCGCTGCCTGTCTAACCGGTGCAAGCCTGGCTTAGCTTTCAGCTGATCACAGCTTTCAAGCTCTCCTCCTCACCAAGTTTAATCATTTCTAGGTTTTCATGTAAAGTGAGATGTGATGGCTCTTCCTTTCCTTTGAGCACTTTGTGGCCATGGCGGGTTAGTAACTGGCCTCATTGCAATAGTGGTGTGTGCCAGGGAGTAGGAAAGCTTGGGAAGAGGGAGAGAGATAGGGGAACGGCTGATTGGGGGGAGGCAGTCAGAACACATCAAACATTTATTACATTGTGTCTTATATGG